GAGTATTTTGAACTGGATTCGAAAGTGAACCGGTAACCAGTGCAGTGAGGCCAAAACTGGTGTAATGTGCTCTCTTTTGCCTGTACTGGTTAAAAATCGGGCTGCTGCATTCTGGACCAGTTGTAGTCGTGCAATGGAGGTCTGACTGATACCAAACAGGAGCGAAGTGCAGTAATCAAGCCTAGATGTAATGAATGCATGTATTACTGTCTCCAGGTTATTTTTGGACAATATGGGCTTCAGTTTAGACAGCCGCCTCAGTTGGAAGAAGCATGATTTAACAATCATGTTTACATGATTGTTAAGCTTCAGGGAAGGGTCCATGATCACGCCCAGATTAGTGACTCTTTGTTTTTCTGACAGGGTTAGAGCGGAAAGGCCGATGCAGTGGTTTGTGATCGTGTCGTTGGGAGGGAACAACATGACTTCAGACTTCTTTTCATTGAAACTTAAGAAGTTTAAAGCCATCCAGTCCCCGATGTCAGCCAGGCAGTTGAGCAGTGGTTGAATAGAGCATGTACCATTGTGTCTTAGGGGGAAGTAAATTTGACAGTCATCGGCATAGAAGTGGAAGGGCATGTTGTGTTTCCGGAAAATAGCACCAAGCGGCAGCAGGTATAAAAAGAATAGGAGGGGACCAAGGATGGACCCCTGCGGAACCCCCCATTTAAGCTCTGCCTCTGCGGAACTAAAATGCTTGATGGAGACACAAAAGGATCTGTCAGTGAGGTAAGATCTGAACCAATTGAGGGCTGATCCTGTGACACCCACCCACTGCTCCAACCTAGCAATGAGGATCTCAAGGTCGATAGTGTCAAAGGCGGCTGGCTGTTAGGTCCAACAGGACAAGCAGCACAGAATCACCGGTATCTGTGAATCTGAAGATGTCGTTAAAGACCTTCAGCAGGGCAGTTTCAGTGCTGTGGAGAGGTTTGAAGCCAGATTGGAAAAGCTCTAAGATGGCGTGATCCTCCAGGAAGCACTTCAACTGGGACTCGACTATTTTCTCCAGTAGTTTAGAAACAAATGGGAGTTTGGAGACAGGCCAGAAGTTGGAAACGACTGAGGAGTCAAGTTTTTTTTTTTTTTTTTTTTCAGGAGAGGCTGGACAGCAGCATGTTTAAAGGATTTTGGCACCACGCCAGTGTATAAACTACTGTTTACTATGGCAAGAATGGACGGACCTAGAGTAGGAAAAACCACCTTTAGTAGTCGAGGGGGGACCACATCAAAGGGGGAACCAGAAGGTTTCAAGCTGCACGTGACCTGCTCTAAAGAAGTTAGAGTGATGGGTTCAAAATGGTCAAAAGGAGCTACAGATTGAGGTGGCATGGATGGGTCATGAGTTGGAGGCGAAATGAGAGCCCTGGTGGTCGCAATTTTTTCCATAAAGAAATGTAGGAAGTTGTCGCACAGCTCAGTCGAGGCTTCCAGAGGTGGTGGTTCAGTGAGGTGGAGAACAGAGTTTAGGGTGGAGAAGAGGACACGTGGGTTGTGAAAGTTTGAGGTAATTATATCAGAGAAGAATTTTGATTTAGCAGCTTTTACTGTTTTCTGATAACAGCACCAACTCTAAGTATTTGAAAAGAGACCTGCAGCATGTCTTTCCTCCACTTTCGCTCCGCCCTCCTACATTGCTGCCTAACGGCCTTGGTGACGTCACTCAGCCAAGGTTCTGCTCTGAGTTTTGATTTTTTGGTTTTAACAGGTGTAACATGATCCAGAGTCTTTAAGCAGACAGAGTTGAACTGGGATGTCAGCTCCTCAGTGGTGGTGAGAAACACTGGGAGCTGAATTATCATTCCAGAGTTATAAACATCTGTGAAATGTGCGGCAGTGAAATGGTTAATGGTTCGAGTCCTACGTGCAGGAATGCACGGCTTAGGAGTTAGATGGGGGAAACTGGGATGGGCAGTTGTTTACAGTCAAAAGTTGATTTGAATATTGTTAATAATCCACCACTGCGCCGGCCTAATGGCCGTGGGGCATTAAAACACAGACTGTTCGGTGGCAGTCGGCTTTTATCGGCTTTTATGTGAATGTTGCTGTAAACATTCCTGTGCCCTGAAACAACTTTGTTGTGATTTGGCGCTATATAAATAAACTGAATTGAATTGAATTGGTTAAATGAAGGTTAATACATAAGAATAAATCAAAATGTTTAATAATATTATGAACAATGAAAATAAAAGTTCAACAACAAGAAACAAACAAGAAGGCTCATTTCTAACAGACAATCAGTTCAGGTATTTATCATATTGATGGCAATGGGAAAGAAACTATTTGGTGTTTTGTGGTTCTGGTTTTGCCAGATTTGTACCGCCTGCAAGAGGGAAGGACCTGGAACAAATACTGACAAGGGTAAGAAGAGGTTCCCTGCCCTCATCTAGATTCTTAGATATCCTGAAGGGTAGGCAGGGGAGCACCAATGACATTTTCTGCAGTTTTTATCATCCTCTGCAGTCTTTTGTCTTTCTGTGTGGCTGCACCAAACCAGATGTGCATTCTGCACAGTACAGACTGAATGACAGCCATGTAGAAAAGGCTAAGCAGCTCTTATAGCAGACCATGATTCCTCAGCTGCCACAGAAAAAAAGGTCTTTGCTGGGCCTTTGTTCATAATGGTGAGTGTTGACTTGGGTGGGGGTTGGTAATGTTTCTTAAAGTCCACTGTCATTTCCACAGTCTTGAGGGTGTTCAACAGGGCTGTTGGAGCTACACCAGAGTTCCAGCCGGTCAACCTGCTGCAGATATGCGTACTTGTCATTGTTCTTCATCATTCTAATGACAGTGCTGTCAGCTGCAAATTTAATGATCTTGACAGTAGGGTCTGTGTAGGTGCAGCTGTTGAGGGAGGAGAGCAGTGGAGACAGAACACATCCCTGAGGAACTCCTGTGCTAATTGTCCTTACTCCTGACGTGAAGTCAGCTTGCTGCTTCCTGCCTGTTAGGGAGCTGATGATCTACTGGCAGAGTGCAGGAGATATGTTGAGCGAGGATAGCTGGTAGAGAGGATTTGTGGGTCGACTGTGTTGAAGTCCACAAGTATGATTCTACAACCATATCAAACTAACTCTAGTTAAAGTCTAACTCTAGTTAACTCTAGTTAAACTAATGATGCTAAGATATTTTTTACTGGCCAATATGAGTTAGCTGTGGTAGCCATCTTAAATTAGGGTGACTCCAAAAGTTGATTAGTCTACATAGATGTGGATAACTAACTAGATGCATTCAACTAACTGATTCATATGTATGGTCTTTGGCCATGGCTGCCTCACATGAATCGGTGGGGGAGAGGGCATATTCCAGAAACCATCTTAACACCATCAAACTGGTTGGTCCACTGAGTGCGCTACTTAAAGACTTAAAAGACTGAGCTTGTTGTGGCTCCTTGGACTGAAGAAGTCTTTTGGATGAAAGATGAAATGTTTCAACACAAAGAAACCATCTAGAGGACCTGACTTAACTTTGATGGATTCATTACCTGGATTATTGAGCATGAACTTTGATCAGATGTATGGTCATTAAAAAGTCAGTGCTTTGAAATAAGAAACATCACAGCATCTTTCTGTTTAAAGCAGATAAATGTGTTCAATGTTTTGTAGCTAGTGTGAGTCTAACTGTGCGTACAGTTGTGTAAATTTTATTTTGATCTGAAAATTACTTTTGAATTTGCTGCGTTTTCGCCTTTCTACCAGCAGGTGTCACTGTTAAATAGGAATTGATTTAGGAGGCTCAAGCAGCTTTGAGGAAAAGCCCTACCCAGTTTTAGTATCTCATTGTGTCTTTCCCTCCTGGCTTGTTGTTTAATCCGTCAGCAAAAAAACTTCTGCAACCAGCTGTGTCTAATTTAGTGAAGGCTGCTTCTTACAGCAGGTCTGCAAGTGGACTAGTTGCTGTTTCTGTGCAGCCTCATTGGTGCGTATTAGCGAAGGGCGGGGCTTATTGTGTGTGTGTGTGTGTGCGTGTGTGTGTGCGTGTGTGTGTGTGTGTGTGTGTGTGTGTGTGTGGTGGGGGTGTGGGGGGGGGGGGGGTTGCGTGCAGCAGGAAAGGAGGGGGTTGGGAGAGGAGGAGTCTGAATTTGGGTTTGTTCAGTCAACCTCATTGCAGCTGCAGCAGAGGACAGGAGGAGAGGCAGGGAAGGACGTGGCGGGCAGGGTGTTTGTCCTGGAGGACAGTGGTGGTGTGAGGCTGTGGAGAGGCTGATAAGGAGACACAATCTGGACTCGACAGGATACACAAGTCCTGTTTATTTTTCTTTTCACCTCTGAGAGGTTACATTTTATTTTCTCTTTTTGTTGTTGTTACTAAGGGAGTGTGAAACTGCTGCTTTCTGTCACCAAATGGATGCCAGTGCGTGAGGAGAATACTAATGCGTCCTGCCGAGGCACATTGCTTCCCTGTTCGCTGCTGCTGAGGGCCACAGCAGAGCTGATCATCAAACAGGGTGAACCAGGGCCTGCAACCCCCCACCCCCCACCTGTGCTCAACCAGAGGAATTTTATCGTCAATGAGCTGGGGCTGAGCTATAGGACCTTGTATTTACAGTTTTCGGAGGGTGGATTTAAGTAACAAAAAGAGGTCAAAATGGGGAACAGCTTCTCCAACATCTCTGCCTTCCAGTCGCTCCACATCGTCATGCTGGGTTTGGACTCCGCTGGGAAAACCACAGTTCTTTACAGACTTAAATTCAATGAGTTTGTCAACACGGTCCCCACAATCGGCTTCAACACAGAGAAGATCAGGCTGAGCAACGGCACGGCCAAGGGCATCAGCTGTCACTTCTGGGACGTTGGAGGGCAGGAGAAGCTGAGACCTCTGTGGAAGTCCTACAGCCGGTGTACAGATGGGATCATTTATGTTGTGGACTCGGTGGACGTGGACAGGCTGGAGGAGGCCAAGACTGAGCTTCACAAAGTCACCAAGTTTGCAGAGAACCAGGGCACCCCGCTGCTGGTCATCGCCAACAAGCAGGATCTGCCCAAGTCCCTGTCTGTGGCAGACATTGAAAAGCAGCTGGCCCTGCACGAGCTCACCCCCTCCACCACCTACCACATCCAGCCAGCCTGTGCCATTATAGGTGAGGGGCTTCATGAGGGCATGGACAAGCTGTATGAAATGATAGTGAAGAGGAGAAAATCTCTCAAACAGAAGAAGAAGCGGTAACAGCAGCTTCTCGTTTACTGTGAGGATTCCGGGTTGTCTTTGGACACGGGTTTACTCTGCTTATTGTTTTCTTCCGTCCTCTGTTTGGATTAAAGATCTTCGACCTGTGAAGCCCTGCTGAATGATGCTGTTGCACACATGAGGCCGCCTCATCGGGGGTTCGATGGGGTCTGTAAAACCAAAAAGAGAAAATTAAGGAAAGTAATCCTCAGAGGGAGAGAAACAGGCTGGCCTGTTTATCTGCTGCTTTATCTCAGACTTTAAACACTGAAGGCATTGTATCTCACAAGGACTTCTTTTCCTGGACTTTGTCTTTATTTCCACCCATTTATGGAATCACAAGTTTAATTTTGCACGTAGCTGGGGTCCCTCCTGCCACTGCTCTTTAGCTCCTTTGGGCATCTATAGTATTATTTCCTGAATATTATAGGTGCTGCACAGGGTGTTGATTTTTTATTTTACATTTTTTGGAGCATTGAAGTAGCCTTTCCTCTGCATGGTGGACTGAGGACACCGTCCAATACTTTTGCACTTTTTATTTGCTAACAAACAGTAGGAAACAACTGTATTAACAGAAGAGCAGATCCAGGTTGTTTATATACCGAGAAGCCAAAACTGAAGTATTTTTGATTATTAAAATATTTTAAACCTATTATTTGAATGGCCTTTGCTTGCCCCCTCCCTTTTGCATGTGGTTTAAGAAGTAATGCAGTAGCAGGAAGTGGAGTGATGACTGGTGACAAAAAGGTTTTTAGTGACTTTAGTAGTTTTTCTTCTCCAATCAAAAGGTCATGTAGTTCAAACAGAGGAGTTAATTGCGACATGAAAAGACGGGAGCACCAGGTTTTATCATCCAAACATGAAGAGGGTGATGAGAGCAAAACTGCAGCCCGTTTGTGAAATTTATGGATCTGCATTGCGGCGCAGTGTTTATGGCAGCAGCCAGTGCTTAGATTGGACCAGTACTCATCCATGTGTTAGAAATTTCTGTCTGGAGCAGCATTAATCCTTTACTTGCTTTTCAGCAATTAGTATAAATACCCTTTTTAAAATAAATTCTACAGACAGAAAGGTTTTCTTGTCAGACAAAGGAAGATGTGTCTTCAGTTATTATATGACAATCTGTCTTTGCTTTACAAGGCAACAAGCTCAGTGTAAATGCATGGTGCCGCTAATTTTTAGAAGAACCCTGCAACTGTAAAATCCTTCACCTGGATTGTAAGTAAATGAGAGAACACTAGAAATGAAAACAGAAATGCTGTAAAAACTGAATTGCTCATCAGAACTGCAGTCAGTTCATGTTCAGACATAAAGAATGAGACGATGATCAGTTGAGATAAGGTTTGCTGTGTTGCACTAACTATGCACACATTCTTTCATACTAACAGCCCAAGTTGACAGAAAGAACAAATGACATAAAACTACTGGCACTATTCACTTGAATGAAGTGTTATCAATACATCATGTGCTCCATTGATAAGCTTGTGACCCCGTGACGTTTTCTAATTCACAACCACACACGTCACAAATGCAATCATGAGATTTTTTATATATAAATCTTGAAGTTGTAACATTTTTAAGCTGTATGCTTATGGAGACACTTGTAAATGATTTGACATGTCAATGAGTTTACAAAGTTCTAGTTATACACAACTGTTGACTAATATGCACTTTTTTTTACCTGTAAAACATGTGGTAACACTTTTACACTAATAAGGTGCACAAAATTTGATTAACTACTAAAGAACACCTCAGGAACAAATCAGGAGCTAATGGGCAGTTAACCAGTACTTACTGGTGAACACACAGCCAAGCCTTATTAGGGGACTACTGTTTGGTTACCTTGTAAATGAAGAGGTACTAATCAATAACTAATAGACAGTTCCCAAGGAAACCAAAGAGGAACGAATCAGGAGCTAATGGTTAATTAACCAGTATTTACTGGGGAACACACAGCCAAGCCTTATTAGGGGACTACTGGTTTGTACCCACAGGAACAAACCAGTAGGTAATGCTCAGGTCGTGATGATTGGTTCCTCACTAAGTTTTTGGTATGATGCTTCACTGCATCAGTGAACAAAATAATATCCAGGCAATGATTTGGTACTGAGTAAGTGATAGTCAGACAAAGTTAAGATGACGGCAGTACAAGATTATAAAACTGATCATGTCTTTCATCAATAGGTTTACAAAAGAGAAAATCCAATAAAATCAGTAATCACTAGGAAACAGGTTTTTGACAATTACGAGCTGTGACCTCACTGGTGCAAGGTTTATTCAGAACCCTCATGGAAAATGTATCCTCTGATTCTGTGGTAACAAACCAGTAGTACCCTAATAAGACTTGGTTGTGTGTTCCCCAGTAAGTACTGGTTAACTACCCATTAGCTCCCGATTCCTTCCTGGGGCATTCCTTAAAGTGTTACCCATTTTTTTAATAACATCCTTTCCACATATGCCCGTTTTCCACTGTGACGGTGCGGATCAGGTAAGTTCGGGTCAGCTCAGATCAGCTCGTGTGTTGTCATGTTTTCATAAACATTTCTGGACCAGTTATGTAGGCGGGGTCCATAATCCAACTCGCCTTACAACCTGGTGGCGGTAGTGTTCCTTAAGCTATTTATTAGCCACCACTAAACATATTAGAAGAAGAATACCCTGAAAGACACACAACCAAAATGGAGGACATCATTGTTCAGTAGAACATTATGCCCAGTCTGTGGCCTTTTGTGAAAAGTTGAAGAGAACAGACCCTAAACCTTGCCTGACTGAAAAGACTGAAAAGGCTGCGGGCAGCAGACTGCAGGCTGTGAGGCAAAATACTATTGAGAAGTACCGGAGAGTGTGGGAAGCCATAAAGCAGATGTTGGACGGATGGGTGGATGGATGGATGGATGGATGGATGGATGGGTGGATGGATGGATGGATGGATGGATGGATGGATGGATGGATGGATGGGTGGATGGATGGATGGATGGATGGATGGGTGGGTGGATGGATGGATGGATGGATGGATGGATGGATGGATGGATGGATGGATGGATGGATGGATGGGTGGATGGATGGATGGATGGATGGCCTCCACAGATAAAAAGGAGACCATCAAACACAGCAGGAGCGGTCAGTTCAGGTGAACACCTGCCTGTTTGCTTCAGATCAGCTTTTAAAATCTCTGCAGGTTAAAAAAAAAGGTGCACCAGGGCTTTCATATCAATTTTTCTGTTAACTTATTTTATTTATGAATATTTTTGTTCAGTGCTCTGAGATGACTTCTGTTGTGATATGGCGCTGTATAAATAGACTGAATTGAATTAAATCTCTGATGAACCAGATTCTACAAAAACATATATATTTAATAGGGGTGGACCGATAAATCGGCCCCGATTTCCTTAATTTGGGGGAAATCGGAAATTGGCCGATGAATGAGAAACCGATTTTACAGATTTTTTTTTTTTGTTTTAACAACATTTGTCTAAACTTCATAGGCAGCACGGTGGCACAACTGGTAGAGCTGCTGCCTCTCAGCGAGCAGGTCCTTGGTTCAAACCCAGGTCCGAGGGCCTTTCTGAGTGGAGTTTGCATGTTCTCTCCGTGCATGCGTGGGTTTTCTCCGGGTACTCCAGTTTCCTCCCACAGTCCAAAAACATTCATGTTAAACTGATTGGTAACTCTAAATTGTCCCTAGGTGTGAGTGAGAGAGTGAATGGTTGTTTGTCTCGTTTGTCTCTATGTGTCCCTGTGATGGACTTGCGACCCGTCCAGGGTGTAGTCCGCCCCTCGCACAGTGATTGCTGGAAATGGGCATCGGTGACCCCCGTGACCCAAAATGGAAGAAGTGGGTAAAAGATAATGGATGGACGGATGGATGGACTTCATTTATATTTCAGAGAAGTACCTCATGGCCAGTTTAAAAAAAGTTTGTATTGTTTCTAGGATATTGTTCAAGGGTATGTTTTTCAACAAAATAATATTGGAAAATTGAAGGTGCATTGTGACCTTATAACACCTGACAGTGTCACTTATAAAATAAAATCGGTATCGGCCAAAATCGGAATCAGCAGGTCAGACTTTTAGAAATCGGTGATTGGTGATCGACCAGAAAACTGCAGTCGATGCACCCCTAATTTTTTTCTTTTCTTCACTTGATGTATTTGAAGTCATTATTCATACTCATACTTTTATTGTTCCATTTAGATATGTGATTTTGTTTATTGTATACAAATTATTTTATTTTAGTGATTTAAAGTGTAATTCTTGTTTTGTGATTTGTACATCTGTGGGTTAGAATAAAGTTGGAACTAAAGGCTGTAGCTCCTCTTTAAACATATTTGAAGGAAATGTTCCTGAGAGAAAGAAACAGTCCAGATGACATGACTGAAAAATGTTGGATTGTATACCTGGACTATTGAGCATGGACTTTGTTGTTCCTGAGAGATCCAATAATTTTGTCTTTTTATGATTTTTCAACTGAGTTAACTTTAATTAACAGGTTATTTAATAAAGTCAAAGGGAAAACAGGATTTCATGAAAAAGCCGGCACTGTTTATTTTATTTTTAATCTTCACTGATTAAAAAAAACATTATATTTTTTAATACATAATTTATTTATTTATTTTTTAATGTTTCCACCGTCCGTTCTGGTTCACCCGTCTGCCAGGGCTCGGAATCCAGTCTTTGTGAGCATGCGAGGCTGGGGTCGACAGCTCTTATGATCCTCCGCAGTGACTAGCTCACTCTGAATTTTGTTGTCAGTCACCAAAAACAAAAAACGCCTGCACTTCAGCATTAGAACACGGAGCCTAAGCCGGCAGCACGGAGGATCTCGGAGCCAGGGAGATGACGCCCTGAGCGGGCTCCGAAACTCCGGGGAGACCGGCAGAGCTCCAGCTAGCTCGCTCTGAATTTTGTCGTCGGCCACCAAGCACAAAAAATGCCTGCATTTCAGCATTAGAACATGGTGTTGTAATTATTGTTTTTATAATATTAAAAATAGGTCCAGCCGCTGCTCCAAGTTCCGTGTAATTGCAAATGGCGGATCGGTGAAAAGTTTTCAGAAAGATCCAATGACTCCTTCCGTTGACCAATCAGTGACCGACAGTGTTCTGACGTCACATTTTTATGCCAGCTCGGCTCACTTGGATCCCTTGAGAAGAAGGAACAAAAAAGGGGCCGATACAGCTAAAAAGTACTAGTGGAAAAGTGCTCAAAACTAT